GGAATGGACCTAAAGGCACCACCTCGGCCATCGGTTCCACCGTTTCTTTGTATATTTTCAATTTTTCATTCTTTTAAAACTTATTTAATTTTAAAATTCTCACTCTAGGTAATTATCTAACGTGTAGTTTAACCATTTCCGATCAATTTTATCTACCTCTCCTCCCTGTTTTGATTTGAGTGCATTTCGGATACTCGCTATCTTCAGTTAGGGATATAAGCAGTGTGAGAACGAGTTTTCACACGGAACGTTTGACCTTTGTTGGCGGTTTCATCTAGCAAGAAGAATCTGTAAAAAGGACAAACGCATGCATAAAAGAATTGTCTTGTTCTTACCCTACTTATATCCCAAATGCACTAAGGAATAACCAATTATGACTAATCTGATAAGCCTGTCAGAAGAAAAGAGTGAGGAAAAGAGGACCAACTACCAGAAATTACAGGTTCATCACCCCGGGTTCTCTCGTTGAAATCCCAAAATGTACATTTAAGTTTGTTTTCCACTCTAATATTTGTGTTTTACATTTTTAAATTCGCACCGGTACCAGGAGGGTTGATATGAACTCTGCCGTTCCGAACCCTCGAAAAAAAATTATTTTTGTAAAGACTGTCTTTTTAGATTATTGTCCTGTTTTATCTTTAAATAAGATTTTAACGATCTTTGTTACTCGTTTATTACATGGATCATTAACATAAAGCATTTTCTTAAATATTTTTCAGCATTTATTACCCTCTTTGGTTTTTAGCAATAGGATCACATTTTTTGCATGAAAGGTGCAAGTTAAAAAAAATTAAATTAAATTTTATGCGAAACAATTTTCAAAAATATATTTTACCATAAAAATTATTACGCTAAATATAACAAACGGCGATGATATACAGAAAATATGGACAGCAAAATAGAAACGGTTATGAAAGAAAGCCGATTCTGATAAAGTTGGTTAACTCGTATTTTCTGCACAGCCGAGCAGAAAATTTTTCTGTGTATTTGACTTAACTCTGGATTAATTGTCCTTACGAGATGTCCCTGTAGGTAATTAATTAGAACACGTCTCCTTTGCCGAGACAACGTCTTGTTTTACAAAGAGGCGGCAAAGAAACAATCACATTTGTCAAATATTGTTTAATTTGTTTCAAAATAATTTGTTGTAATTACATCTTTTTCATCATCATAATTGATTGTGCCTAGAATTGACAATCAATTTGATTTTTCCAAAATAATTTATGCAGGGTGAGAGTTTAACTCTGCTTCCCCCTTATATGTTATTTATTGGGGCGTTGTTTTTTTTTGGGGGGGGGAATCCTAAGACATAAACTTATTTTTTGACTAGTTTCTCATGACCCACAAAGATTCGAGCCAACATTCCAGGATACCCTCGGGATTTCGTATCCCGCAGGGGCTTAACTATTTCAAATGATACTCATCAATGCATATTTTTGAAAGGGGTTTTGACGCTGAATTCAGCAGATTTGGAGCAACTGTTCTTAAGTTAGTGGCAAACAAATATTTCGGAATATTGTTTTTACGAAAAACAAAATCTTCTCCAACTTTTGAAACTTTTATGAACGGTTGTTCAGAAAACTTTTCAAAAAATGTGTTTTGCCATTCAAAATAGTTAAACCCCGTTCGAATCTCGTTATCTTGGAGAAGTTCTGGTCGTTTGTTTAATGTATGTCTAAGAAGTTTGTATCTTTTGTTAAGTACCTGTCTTTTACCGACGGTAAATCTAGTAAAGCTAGGTAAATATGCCACGTCTTCCAGTCTGAAATCATATTAATTGAATACTGTCCTAGAAAGTAAAAAGGCTAGGACTACTTTCTCGGAGATAGCTATCTTCACTGACAATCAGGCAGCTCTAAAGGCGAGTGAGGGAAAAGAGCATGGATTGGAACTGCATGGATGCCCTGGCAGAAGTCAGCGACACTAATGACCTGACCTTGGCAAGGACCGTGGGCACTTGGAGCATGGAGGCATTGAAAAGGTTGACATGTTGGCGAAAGAGGGAGCCTACATGGACTCTAGGTCCTGAGTTCTACTATGGCTTAGTATCTTGCCACAAAAGAGGATACATCTTAAAATGGATCCTTAATGAATCCAAAACCTGGTAGAACAATACCACAGGCATGAGGCATATAAAAAAATTCAGAGAACAGCCATCCGCAAAACTACAAAGAAATTACTGGAAAGAGACCAAAATCGAACCAGGATTCTGGTTGGACTCAGGACAAAGCACTGCCACCTAAGAAGGCACATGCACTGGATAAGAGGACAGAAAGAACATTGTGCAGATACTGCCAGGAAGAGGAAGAGAACGCAGAACACCTTTTATGTTTTTATGAGGGTCTATGTAGGTGCATATTCTTGCAACTTGGATAAGAAAGGCCACAAGCAAGATCCTACATTAAGGAGCCACTGGAAAGGCTATGGAGTCTGATTAACAACCTGAAGCTGTCCAGTGAGTTAAAAACACAGGGGAGCACAATAAATCTACTCGGGTTGAGGTGCCTTGTGACCGCCTCTTTTATCCCTATCCTTGCCTGTCTTTTCACTCTCGTGTGGGGGAGTCAATGTCAGTCTTGAAACATGCCTAGATATTTTACTATTCCTGCTGTCAATACAGGTATGTTGTTAAAGTAGAGTGTAAGAAATGTCATACAGCGGAGAGTAAAGATTGTGTGGATACATTTGATTAATTTTTATTCTCCATCTTTTTATTCTATGATGTATATCGTTTAGATGGGCCTGGTTGTTGGAGGTAGCTAGATTTGGGTTTTGATGCAAGGAAAGGATAAATATGTCATCTGTGAATATATTAGGATTAGTGATATATCGGCCATGAATATTGTATATAGTAGAGGCCTAGGATGCTTCCTTGGTACTCCAGCCCCGATAAGGAAGAAAGAGGAAAGATCTGCACTTTGTCTGACTTGGTCAGGTATTGGGATCAGATTATAGGTTGAAAGTAGAAGAGCCTTTAATTGGGATAGAAGCCCTGGTTGTCAGACTTGAACATTTGTACCGTGTCAAAAAACACCAGGGCACTCTCAGTGAAGTTGGGTTCTTTCCAATTTTAGTATGAATAAAACCTTTACGACTTTAAACTGTGTACTCCAATGTTAGACTACTTTCATATTGTATTGTACCAGGACTGCAATGATTTCATTTCACCCCCTTTTTTTTTTAAGGAAAATAGGACAGATATCATCCACTAGAATTTTTGTGTGTATATATTTATATTTATTTGCACTCACCATAACAATATTTGCATAATATTGTAACATGAAAAACCTCAAACTGGGAAGTCCAGTATATAAGAGACAGTTATTATCTCAATTGACAATCAGCTAAATGTGACAGGAAAGAGCACCATTAAATCTACCATAGGGATTTATATCTTCCTTTTATAGGAACAAGGGTTCCAATTCCAGCAAACTACTCAGGCTATTGTCACAAGCCTTCTTACAGTTTATGATGCAATTTTTCAATAAAACTTTTGATTGTGCCCAACCTGCACTCATGCAAAAACCCAACCCTTGTGGAATGAAGAATTTAGTGCAAAGCCTAAGTAATTTATTCGAGCAACTTGTAGTTTCCTGTTACTTTCGCATGCTGACTTCCACGCAACAAAGGACTAAATAATAGCTGGTCTTACCACCATTTTCTATATAAGCAACTTATTATTCAGATTCAAACCCGACTCTCTATAGGATAGTGGAACTGTGAATTTGACAGCTTGTTTTGCAATTTGCAACAAGTACATTAATGTGTTTCATAAAATTTAGTTTGCTGTCAAGGCATAGGCCCAACTATTTAACCCAGGGTGACCAAAGCTTGCTATTTATTACCTTACTACAAGGATGAAATAAGGGCAGTTTGTCTGCAAATAGCGGACTATAATATAAATAACAAATCACAATAATATAATAACAAATCACACAAGTAAACAGGAAACAATGTTGGTCCCAGCACTGAACCCTGAGAAACACCAGCTACTACCTTAACTCCTCCAGAAATGGATCTCCCAAAGGTGACTATGAACTGTCGGTTTATTAAAAAAGAGCTGTCTATTTTTATTAAATATGTAGGATTGTTACGGATTAATTTGTAAGTGTGCTAGTCTTCTCCTAGAAAAAAAAAAATAGCAACTGTATTTTAGGGTTTCTTAAAGTAATTATACAATTTACGTAAAGGATTCAGTGTAGCAGCAATGATTTTTAACCGATCCCTGGCATGTGAGAAAACATTTACACATCATGATGAAATGATGATCCCATCTGCAGATTATGCAATGAGGAGGAGGAAACAGCTATCCTTGTCTTCTTAGAATGCGGAGCAACAGAGGAGATAACCTAACATACGAAAAAAATCTACGGAGTGAAATTTTAGCAGCGACCGTCAATGTCCTAATACTTCTGAGAAGAAGGATTGTGTCGATTGCACTGAACTAGGGAGAACTAGGAAGCCAGAAGGCTACAGTGCCTGGGGTGCACAAACCCCACTTCCTAGTATCCTCATCATCAATAGTGCACTTGTACCACGAGGATGAAAACAGGGCAGTTTGTCCGCAAATAGGGCCAATTGGACATGCCGTAACAGATCACATAAGTAAACAGGAAACAATGTTGGCCCCAGCACTGAACCCTGAGAAACACCAGCTACTACCTTAACTTCTCCAGAAATGGATCTCCCAAAGGTCACTATGAACCGTCGGTTTATTAAAAAAGAGCTGTCTATTTTTATTAAATACGGATTAATTTGTAAACCCTGCCCATTATGCCAAGCACAATCAAAGGCCTTACGTCCAGTAATGCCGTTTTTTAGTGGTTCTTTAGGATTTGTATGGACGATTGCCCCATTCCAGTTCTACTTCTATAAACTTCAACATTATTGTTGTAAACTGTGTGGAACTGATTGATGATTGATTTTTCAATGTACAGGGATTTACTTAAACATCGATTTTCGTTTGTACACAGTGATATAGCCGTTTATCGATTGAAATTTTAAGTCGAAAGTTGTTCAATTCGAAGGTAGAACCGCTGTTATTCGACATTCAATTTATGAAATTCGAAATAAAAATGTTTAAAGTGGTGAGAGGAATGAGATCGAACGGCGTTGATTTTCATCCGTTTTTCTCGACCTCTTATGCCTTTTCGACGAAAGGCACAAGCGATAATAAAACTAAAAATAAATTCGAAAAGGATTTTAAAGACTTCAGACCAACTCAGACAGGTAAAGTAAAATCTTTTTAATGTTTGACATAATCAAAAAGTTTGTAATGTCTCAAGATAAACTGGATTTGGAAAAAGAACCGCTGGAAGAGTGGAAAGACGGGGTCAATCCGCACACCGGTGAGATTGGCGGTCCAAAAGGTGTCGAACCGACAAGATACGGTGACTGGGAGCGTAAAGGAAGAGTCACAGATTTCTAGTTATGAGCAACAATGTGATCAAATGATATATAGACTGTAGTTATTGAATTAATAAATTTTTTGTTGACTGTAAAACTTGTAAGATAAGTAAGCTTAAAAAAATGTGTTACTTGTTTTCACGGCTCTTTCCAGAAAATGCTAAATCAAACTTGAGAATAGAGGTTATCGTATCATACCAAAACTGAAAAACGAAGGAGAAAGTGTATCCAAAGGGGCCTCCCCATCTATAGCTATCAGAAGGTGGAGAATAGAAGACGTGCTGGACGATTCCATCATTGACTACTGACGGCGGGGCTGCATTCTCCGTTGCAAAAACAGATGGCCTCCCTTCGCTTATGTTGAGCTTACAGCTATTATTTGAATGAATAACCCTTTACCCTTTCTGTACATATAGCAAGCCAGTTTGTCCTAGTTTCTCAAGAAATTTGATTAGTAGGCCCAGCTGTAGTGGTTGTAAATCTGCAGTTACATAGTTCATAAAAAAAACACTTCTTCCTGCAACCAGTTTGTTAATAGGTGCATTGGTGTTTCCTCTGCTTCCTTGCAGAATCTGCACATGCTGTATTGAATTATACCAGTCTCCTTCAAATGCCTGTTTAGATTATATAGGAGCCAGCCTCTTTCCATGCGCACTGTGACCGGTATTGGTCTATTGTGCATCTCCATTTTTTTTTACCAGACCCCAAAGCTTTTTCAAGGGCTCCTGTGTGTATCCTCCAGGCCCTGGCTTTTCCTAACTCTGGATAAAGAATCCTCTGCCCTCGCACCAACAGAGTACGAGTAATGCTGTTTCTTCTTGGCAACATCTGCACAGGCTTGTTTCTGCCATTCCGGGCCTATACATATGCCTCTGGAGTCTGCAGCATCCAGTTAGCAGTACAACTATTATTCTAGCCCTAGCACGATCTAGATTTAGTAGTTCTACCGTTAATGATGCTTTAGTCCTTTGATAAATACATGCCTCTGTCCCGGGCTACATTCCCATCGAATGGAGGACTTATTAATCCACTGACTAGTCGACACACGTTTTTGGCAGTTTGGTAAGCCTAAAAAGAGTACAGGGCCAATAGGGTATCCTTATTGAACTTTCCTTGGTCAATTTATCAGCCCTTCATTGCCCCTCTACCCTGGCACCGAGACAAGTAAGTTTGTTATTTTCCCCAATGCCAGATGAAGATCTAATGCAACCCCCAAACGACCGGACTTTACCATGGATACGGCAATTGCCTTCCAGTGCCACCTGGCTGTCAGAGTAGACAGCTATTCTGTTGACTATCTCAAGTGTACATTATATGGAAGTTTGACAATAAAAAGGTTAAGGGGTTCGAAAAAAGTGGAATAAATTCAGAAAATTGTTTTATTTGAGACCTTAAAAAAGTTTGGAAATCATAGCTGTACAAGGCATGTCTAAGACACACTACATTTTTGATTTAAAACTTTGCCCTTGTCTTTTGATATGAAAAATATTAAATTTCTAACACAATTGTTATTTATTTGGACAACAAAACACAAAATATTCGGGCGATTCTGAAAATGAAAAGTTAGAGTATTACAAACTGTTCATTTACACAAAAGAATGTTATGAATGTATCACTAACACTTTTATCATTAATTTTATAATATTTATATATTGTTTAATACAAAGTCATAAGGTAAAATATTTTTTCTTACCCTTTTTTTCTGTTTTTATAGGTATTTTAATAAAGAAATGTAACATACCTAACTCTTACAAGTATGAAAAAATAGTCAAAAAAATTATCTGCAGTCCAATTTGTAAACAATAAATTATTAATCAACACAAAAAAACTGTCCTTATCATTTAATTAATAGTAATTTAAATAGTAAAAAACAAAAAATAAAAACTCATACTAAATTCTTGTGTGTTTCAGTAATCTGAAAAAAGCTGCTTAATTTAATAAAGCTTTGTTTTTTTCTATCGAATGTCTTTCATTGAAAGATTAACATTCAATTCTTATTTTTTTGAAAAATAATAAGAAGTAAAAATTAGTTTAAATACAATACATAATTCAAGATCTGGTGTAAGTTCTTAAATTCTTCTAAATTATTTCTACCAAATTTCTCATTTCATTGGTAAAGCATATATTATATACACTGAAATAAAAACTTAAGAAAATAAAATATCGTGAGTTTCAAGTTTAAATTCACAAATGCTTTGATATGCCTAATGCGTCTTTGAACATAAAATCTCTCAAGGTCCAGAGTGCATTGAGTACATTTCCGTGGTTCCCGGCCCGATTCCCTAACCAGTGAACAGGGAGCTTGATAAGATCTACACCTTCTATCGACGCTTGAGTCGCTCTCAGCTGCTTATCCCAGTTGCAAATGTTACGGTTTTCAACAGTAAGGCCTTCTATATATCTGAAAATCCGCGTTTCAATTTAGTTTAATTGCAAATTAACAAAGATTATAAAAATAATTTTTAAAAAAATACATACTTTATATAAGCTTCTGAATGTAAAAGCCTTTGAGGCCTGGGAGGAACCGATACAAAAAGAGGTTCTGGTATCCTTCCATTTGCGCCTAACGAACCTGGAACAATTGTCATTGAGTCGTATAATAATAATATAGTTAGTATAATAGTAAAAAAAAGTTTATTGGGTTAAAAATAACAAATTACCATTTTGTGACATAGGAGATGGTGTATTCCTAGTGAAATTTGAGGATAAACCAGCAATAGCAGCTGAAAATAAAACACAAATTGTTTTAAAATTTGTATTAAAACAATAATTGACCTTTAATTTTAGAACATGGATGTCTATTATTCAACTTGTTTAAACCAGAAAATAGGTTGTTTTTAGAAATAAATATTATTGGTATTGTTATATGTATATATTTTCTTTATTAGAGGATTTAGCACATTTTAATTTAAAAATATTGTGCCTTTATGTTAAGCTTGGCAATTTCATTTATTTTGTGATTTCATTAACAAAATACCCTTTTTTTTTTTTTTTTAAATCTCAACGCAATTAATGTAGAGACACACTGGAGTATCCTTAGTTAAAAGCTGGTGGCTCTTATGCGTCCTAGACCCTTTATTTTCTTTTGACTATTTATGAGGGTAAGCTTTGTCTGAAAACATCAAACCAGCCTCTATCCAGTCTCAGATTTTTTTTTTAATTCAGCAAAATCTTTGTTAAACGTGTAAGTATATGTCATTATTAACGTTTTCACGCATTTATTTTTCAAATTTATTTATCAGTACTGGTTAGGTATGTTACAGTTAAATTATCCATTTCTTGTTCATATCGATTCATTCAAATGCTTACAATTTTGTACAAAGCATAAAAAATATGTTCCTGACTATAGAATTTACTTACACCACTGGTTTAATGATATAATTATAAAAATAAGAACTGCACTAATAAATCTGAACCATTTTGTATAATCAAAGACATGCAACTATCAAAAACAATAGAATAAAACCAAATTTGACTTTACATCTGCCTCCAAATGGAACATTTACTTACCATGCTTCTCTATTAAACATAATTAAAAACATTTTATACATCTATGTTGGTGTGTCTTTCAATTTTGTATAAGAAAAATTCAATAAAATAAAATGGGAATAAAAAGAAAAAAAACATGCTTTGTACCTGGTTTAGTACTAGCTGACATAGTTTTGAGAGCGGCTGCTTTACGTGTAGATGGCAAGTAGTGCCTACATCAAACCATGCAAACAAAAGAAAAATCAAAACAAATATAAAACTACAAAAAAAAAAAAAATCTATGTATCATTCATTTTATACATATGCATCCATACAAACACGTATAACACACAGAAGGCACTAGTTGTATAAGACTGTGGATATCGACTTTAATTTTAAATTAAGGTTTTAAGTTGAGATAAAAAAGTCAGTGTCTCGAGCGGGATACGAACCCATGATCTTCGGCTTGATATGCCGCTGTTACTCTACCACTTGAGCTATCGTGACTTCACACTGACTTTTTTATCTCAACTTAAAACTTTAATTAATTGAATGATATTAATTGGTCAAGCAAAATAGAAAAATAGGGAATTTAATTTTAAAGATTGGAAATCAGTAGTTTGGATGTCTAAATCGTAAAAAATAAATTAAGGTGTAAAACCATTCTTCTCATACAAACGCCTTTTGTATGTTATACGTTTCTTTTGCCTGTTGTTTTCGTGTATTTGTGAAAGGATCAAAACTAACTAAATAAACAGGGCGAAAAAACAAAACTATTTATGACTTTGACATGCTGGTTATTTAACCAACCATGAACTGCATCAGAAAGGCTTGTGGGTGGTGGAGTTGGTGGTGGTGGTTTTGCCTTTGGCACATAGTTCCTGAAAGTCATAATTTTATAAAACAAGAGATTTCATTATTGCACAAATTGCAGCTAAAAGGGGATGATTTAACACCAATATTAAAACATAAATAATTATTTTAAGAGAAGGAAAAATGTGAAATCGACTTGAATCTCCTCTAATTTTAGATTATGTTCAATTTATAACAAACAATCTCATGTTTATCTTCTTTTCAGTGTCTCTGTATGAAGATTTTTCTTAATTTATTAACACTGTCATTCAATATGTAGTGCAAGATGACCCAGTACAGCAAGTGTATCACATGTATAAAACCTTACATTTTCTATGAATTATAACAAAAAATATTCTTTAAAAAAAACTTTTTTTTATACGAAATATATGGAAAGAAAGGTAAACGATGCATTTATGCCCACTAAGTGTGAAAATGACAAAGTTGACATGTTAAAAATAACTGATATAAAAATTCAAAGTGTTTAGTTTCCTTAAATCATTAGCTTCATAAAAATGAAAAGATACTAACTTGCTTCTATTTTCTAATGTAACAGCCCTGCCAGTACTTTTTAACAGGTGCACCTCACGAACGTGTCGTGCCAATCTCTGCAAATTTGGGAATGGCGGTATAGTTTTCCGTGTCCTTGTGCAGCCCCTCCATTGGCATTGATATTCTATATCTGTGAAATCACAAATTGTCCAAATAAATTAAAACCGTCAACAAGATTTTCTTTTTATATATATACCTGGAATGTTAAGTGCTTGAAAATGTTGATAAATGTGTCCAACACCATCGGAAATGGCGTGCTCGATGGCATCTTGGACATCTTCAAACTGCCAATCACAGTTTTCCCAACCGCACTCGAAAACCGTTTCAGTTACTGATGATGGCAAGGGGAGGTGAGATTCTTCAGAGGGCTTGTTATTCACCGATGTCTCTTCATTTATCCTTGCAGCTCGTTCTTCCCAAGCTGCTTTTTCACTCGCTGGCAATTTTCTCCACTAAAACAAAGAAAACATTTTTGTTTTGATGCCACTGCGATACAATTGTTCCCTTAAACCACGTATTTCCATACACTTAAAACATTTTTGTATGTAGACATTTAGCTTAAAAATGAAATCATACTGTGGACTTAAAAATTTATTTACTTCAAAATGAACTTGCATTCAAAATGAAAACAGATTCATCAATACTCAGAACACTTATCACAATTGAGAAAACTTATTTGTGCCTTCCTTTCCTCTGAAATTACTCCAGTAAAATGACATCTACAAATGTTTCATGCAAAAACTTCACAGTAGCCTTATTTCGATATCAACTACTCGAAAATAATTAAAAATACAAAACAATAACACCTTACCAAAACATCGATTACATATATATTTTTAAAAAAATAAATAAATAAAAAGATGCAGCAAACCACCAAGTGAAAATTGTATTAAATTTAACAATAAAATTGTATTAACAATTGTTTATGATTGTTTAATATGTAGCTATATTATTTACGTGACTATTTTAAAGTGCAACCTATTAAGGACAATTAATACATTTCTATAGCCGCAAAGTTTTTAGTTTAAGGTTCTACAAGTATATCAAAGTGTCTTATATTAATTGACTAGTAATAAAGGGTACATAATTGTGAGCTCTTTTTATTAATTTTGAGAATAATAATTGCTTTTTTAACTTTCAATTAATTAAGGTTTTTAGTTGAGATAACGAAAACTAGTGACATTTTTATTTCATTTTTTTATTGCTATTCAGTATGGCTGAGAACAATCCAGTGTATTTTTTCTTCCCCGTTATTGAGAGTTCAGATAAAGAGCCAGTCCTGCTATTAGCATTGGAAAAGTCAAAGAAAAAGAACTGTGTTGGGCCCATGAAATTAATAAGAAGAAAGAAAAAATAGAGGAATATGTATGCTTAATTATTATTTAATTGCTTAAATATTCCTTTTTGATAATTCATTTTAACCATGAACAAACTCAATCTATATCTCAAACCTTGATCAGATATCACTTCCCACCTCAACAAATTTACGTTCTGTACAGAACAAACTCATTAGCCAAAAAATAATTTTTGAATTCAAATACCTATCACATAACCAAAATAATGGAAATATAATGAAAATAATAGTTTTATTTAGTATTTATAACAATGATTAATAATTTTTTATGCATTTTTAGTGTTAATAAAAACATGGTTTATATTTAATACTTTTGTTGTTCTCTCAATAGAAAGAAATAACAAATTTCAGAAGAAATGAGCCATTACTTATTCCACAAAATGGTTGAATAGATTGAAAAGATTGTGAAGATTAAATTCAAAGCTGATAATGTTTTAAGAGCAGTAGAGAATATATATATGATTATTCAAATAAAATTAAAAGACCTTAACAATGAAAGGCTTGCTTCACACAAAAAATAAATATTGCACTGAAAAATCAATAGATGTGGGTTCTTGAATACTAATACTTTAATATAGATCTTGCTGAATATAATGCTAAATGTACTGGGCAATGTATTAGATTAATGAATTTAAATAGTGGGTGTGGTATACAACATACCTACATTTGATTTTTTATTATCATTAATACTTGTCAAATAAACTTAACTGATTTTTAAAAATTGTGTTCCAATTACATTCACAGTCAGTATCTAATAAAAAGAAAGGTGTTAAAAAAATGATAAAATTAAATCTTAGTCCATTTATGTTTAGTGGTCTAATTGACCATATTAATTATTCTTTTTTATTAAGGTCTTGGTTGAGATGAAAAAGTTAGTGTCACAAGCGACATATGAACCCACAAGTTTCAACTTACACGGGTTCGCATCCCGCTCGTGACACTAACTTTTTCATCTCAACCAAGACCTTACATAAAAAGAATAATTAAATCTTAGGTTAAAAATCTATATCGACTGATTATATCTGAGCATACAAAGTAACTTAGAAATAAATAAAATTGTGATACTTTTTAAGATGTGAAAAACGTAGTAGATTTAATTTTACATTCATGAAAACAGTACTTAATAATAAAAAAAATTAATTATTCTTTTAATATAAGGTCTTGGTTGATATGAAAAAGAAATTCTGACTACTAAATACATACACGAATTAATACAATAATTAGTTGTTTTTTTAAATTAGAACTACTTTAGATAGAATACCTGTTTTGTTTATGTAAAACAAGAAAATTAATAAACATTTTGAATGAAATATTGGTTACAACTTTATTAAAGTAAGAATAAAAAGTTTGGACGACTTCAGATGGGGTGTCAATTTTTAACTAAATGAGGAATAAATACAATTAACTTGGTGATAATATGCCTTGTGGTCTTTCTCAAATATTCAATTATGGGATTTAGGAATTAAATTGGGAATAGCTGTAAAAATTATATTTATTTAATTGAAAATAAATTAAATAATTCATACCGTACAGCATACAGGAGGGCTTAACGTTCAACTCCTTTCCTGTGACATGTACAAGGGGTCCATCTTACAATACATTTTTCAAATTACAGTCAATTATAAAGCCATGTGTTATGCTGGGATTTGAACCACAAACCACTAGCAAAAAAGACAATTCACACATCCTAACAACTCTGCCACTGCAATTTTCTTTATTCTAGTTTTTAAATGTCGTTTAATTTACATTACACATAAATATATTCCTAAAAATTGTATACTTATATGTTTTCACATACATACTTATTTTTCCAATTATAAAATATATTCACATTTAGAATTAGAACCAAACAAGTGTTAACTCCCGCACAAAAACTGACCAATGAGTATGCAGATGCTAATAATTAACTTATAATGTATAATGGGAATAAACGGGGTCGAAATGAGAAGTTTGTGGCATTGATCTAAGTCACGGTAGCTCAAGTGGTAGAGCAATGGCGTATTTAGCCTTATGTCGTGGGTCCAAATCCCACCTATGACACAAATTTTTCATTTATAAAAAAATGTGTGTAATTAATTGAGTTAATAATAATGTTAATATTTATAATGTATGCTAGATAGGGAGAATTTCAAAATGAAACAAAAAGGAGGAAATTTTGAGAAATGCTAAATATCCTGTTTCTGTTCTAGCAGAATAGTTGTGACAATAATAAGATTTTTTAAGTTTTGAATAGTTTGTTTTAAAATATAAATTTGAAAATATGTACTGAAATTCTAACAAACACAAGAAAAGTCAATTTAATCTGTGATTAAGAAATTATAATATATATATAAAAGAAGAAAAAAAAGTGACAAGACAATTTCCACTGGCTTTTAAGATAGTGATATTTAATTTTACCTCATTGCCAACTATCCTGCTGACTTCACCAACGTTGCAATCCGGATTACTTGTTGTTATAGCTTTCCGTACATCACCAGAATATAAGATGTAACCAGTGACCAATTTCTTTCCAGATGCTTTAAGCTGCTGCAATTTTGTCAAATAAAATAAGAGCTTACTTTGACATACATATCTTTAAATAGTTTCTGATTGTGATTATGCTAGTTCTCTCAGTTATTATCTACATAAATGAATATATGAATTTGTTTCTTAATATTTAAAAAAATGTGTTTCAATTTGTGTTAACCATTTATGTATATTCTGTAGTGTTTTGTTAAAGAAACAATATCATTACAAGGTACAACCATCTTTTAAAAAAGAAAAAATGTAAGGACAAATGCAAAAACTGTTATGACAGTTGGATACGACATAAATGCTATGTAAACATACAAGACACAAAAATAATATATAACATAACAAAGCATTCTAAAACACTTACAGCACTAGCATTCTTTAACGAACAAAACATAATATGGGAGAAAGCTTTTTTTTCTACAAAATAAAAATCAATTTCCTGCTATATCTTTTTTTAACCTTTACTTCGTTTAAGCAACTTATAATTACCTTTTTGACACCCGTGGGAGTTTGTGAATCTCCAGCACCAGAAGGTGGACTGTCCATAGAGTCTTCCATCATTACATCAGAGTCAACCTAAAGATAATATTTACAACTGATTTTGTTCAACTTCTTACCTTCAATTTTAACCAAAATAACAGCGAATAAAAAACCGCATTTCTTTCAAAAACCACATGTATATTTTTAACTATCCCCCTCCCCTTAAAAAAGGGGGGGAAAAGAATAATTTTTAGGCTTTTAAAACAATTTTAATGCTGTTGTTAAAATTGTAATGAAAATAAAAACTTCACAGTAACAAAGTAAATTTTAGATATTGAATATTGACAATATAAATTAATCTTTATAGAAATTATTTAAAGCAATTGCAATATTTGTATGGTCATTATGATCCATTAACTAACCAAATGGTATATATATGTATGGTGTTGGTACAGACAAAAGAAGATCACGAGACAAATAGTACTTTTGTTTGAGGAGAACTTTAAATATTTGCAACCTTTATCCTAAAAGACATTGAGAATAGCAGAAATAATTAAAACTGTTAACAATATAAACACGAAGGAAAATAAATGGCAGAAACGATTACTATTAAAGTACATTTTCTTTTATCATGAAAATACTTTTTTTTAAGTGAAGTTAGATTTGCATATAATTGAATGATACTATAATGTTAAATAACTTCTGTTAGGATAAAACATTTACGTAATCAAACAAAATTGAATGAGAAGAAAAATTAAAATGATGATAAACTTTGCTAGGCACCATGCATATTAAAAAATTGACTGCACATGAAATTCTAAAAGCATTTAAATTTTTTGATTTACTCACTGTGTGAAATATTTAAAAATGACAAGAAAAATCTGCCCCCACAACCATAACTGCTAACTTCACCGAGAGAAAGAGAGAGAGGAGAAATTATTTTTCTCATTATTGAAATTACTATATTAGAATATGTTGCAAGTAAATGTTGGCCACTAAAAGTTTAAAATAAACCGTTTAACCCATTCAGGACAGCCAGCTCAAGTGCTGTGATAAATACTAGTAAATATATTAATTCTTTACTACTACAACTTTATACCATTTACAATGATCTAGTGATCAAAAAGTAGCATTAATTAATTACTTATCTATTAATTGGAGATCATGAGATGTGGAAACGTTGGCACGATAAAAAAAATAAAATAAAATGTTTTTCTAAAACCTACATTATACCAAAATAAATATAACAAACAATTAAAGAAATTTTATAACTATTCCACTAAGCATTACTGAGACACGTGTTAGTAGATAGCCATCTGAATATCAAAGTTAGAATAGGCCACATTTGGTTGACCCAGGGCATACAATATAACAAATTTATAAATTAATCTGAGAATGGCCCTACTGCTACTACATTATCTTCATCCAGGGAGAGGCTAGAGCCGCAATTCAAAGGATAATGCAGAGATAAGATCCACTAGCCTACCTCATAAAAAGGGGCAATTTGCTTCAAGAGGAACTTCAGGTAGAAAATCCGAGGATGCCTGTTCGTGATTCAGATTTAATAAAAAATTTCAAATTAATATACCCAATAGCTGCATGGGAGAAAGGGATCACAATTAATGCCGACTAGATTTGGTGTACATATGGTTCTAAGACCAAGAATGGATCAAGAGATCCTATGCAATAAAGCAAGGACTAGAATTCATTCTTGGGCAATATGACACTGTTTTTTAGGCAGGGACTGCTGCTATTGCGCACTGTGCCAGGGAGATCAAAAGGCTGTACCTCGGACAGCCAGGCATCATAAAAATCCTCATAACATAGTAGTAAAGTCTAGACTCATTACATCAAGGCCCTTTCATACATAGAGGAAAACAAAATCGTTATTATTTGGTTACCAGGGCATATAAGCGGACCAAGGAATGTTTGATCAGGGCAATTATTGTCTCTGAACTCCTTTCTGACATGGTCAAAAGAATAGATCCATCTGGCAATGGGTTAAGAATAAGTCCTCAGTTCAATGGGATTCTATTCCAGGATTCACACAAAAAAATTCATTACAGGGCCATTGCAGAAACTAATGACAGAACTATTAAACCTATGATGTGTTGGGGCTAGAATGATTTTAGTAAATAATTGAATATGTTTGCACAAAATTTGAATAAGTGCCAAAAAGAGGGAAACTTGTAAGTTGCAGCTTGAGATGAAAAATTAGCGTGACAAGTGGGGATTCGAAACCACGACCTCCGGCATTCTAACCACTTGAACTAAACTAGATAATTTCAACTTACAACTTTTCCTCTTTTTGGGAACATATTCAAGTTTTTTGTAATCGTATTCGATCCTCAGCGACACACAATTACTTAACTACCCACACTTTGCAAACAGCTCCCCATCACCAAGAATCAAATATGATTAAACAAAATTTGAATATATGACAAAAAGAGGGAGACTGAAGTCACAATATCTCGTCGTTAGTAGTACTTTGGTGTAAAGGGCTGGAGGTCAAATCTCCCTTGTGACCACACTTTACATAAAAATTCTAAGTAAAATTAATACTACTATATGTTCAGCCTATTGGGCTGTGATTCTTTTTACTATTAAATATTTTTAGATTTTTAATTAAATAATTGCACTACGACAGTAATAATTAGATAATTAATCATATAATGAAACTATCCCATAGCAACGTCCTTGAAATCACCAACCACTTTAATTAATAATTAACGAGTATCAATCGAGAACACTGAACTTTATTGTGTCGAAGTTTATTGTTTTAATGTTTTATAAATAAAATATTCCCATTTTAATGATGGGTTTAAAAACAATTTGACTAAGTATGTATTATTAATCTACATGTTATTATTTGTCTCTATTGTCTATTGTTTTGTTTTAAAATAACAACAGCATAAATTGTTTAATAATCTATCAATTGTTTGTCTAAAGGGGTTTAGAGTACTGGATAATAATGAATTAATAAGACAACGCGTGAATCGAACCCCTCGATCGAGCTTATAAAGCTCTCCCAATAATAAAATTAATAAATTCGTGTTGAGGTTAGTTAAGACGTGACCACATATTGAAATCGTTAATGGTTATCTCTGAAAGCTCAGATTATATTACGGTTTTTCCACTTGTTACAAAAAAAACGACATAATTATATTGTATTTGGCACTCAAAAATAATTATTTGTTTAAACAAAAAAGAAATTCTTTGAATATGTAAAAATCGAATTGTGGCGTTTTTATTGTCGATAAGGTATTTTTATAAAAGACGAAAATAGGAAATATGTAACCATCAGGAGGGGGAGATTTTTTAAAAATCATTTGCTTTGTTATTACGATTGTAGACTATCTGAATAAAAACCTGGTAGATTTAATGATAATTGTAAGTAAAATAAAATTCATGTAAACTATTAAATCACTTTTGCATTTTTTGTTGTATATTTTTTTTAATTAAAGAAGAACACTTACTATTCTGAGAAAAAAGAAAATGACCACGGAGACATTACTGAACGTAAAAGAATGACTTATACTGTCATTATGACGTGAAACATTACTGATTTTTCGAACAACTGAGTGAAGACGGATTGAATGGAGTAATAAGGAGTAAACAAAAGTTATAACGTAAGGTTGCACTGCTGCTACCTCCACATCTCCAACTTGCGACTTGCGACTCGGACGGGAGAGATGAACCGGCCTCACCCACGGTGGCCTTGACGCGGCACCTCTTCAACCACCTCCCCACCACGATTTTTCCAACAATCCACATTCCTCCGTATAATTGTGGACTCCCTGAGCTTTCATTTATTCATCGAGAAGAGATTTTGGTCCGGCCTACAGCCCCTTGGGAGATCCCACAAAAAAAATCCCCTAAGGATAAATCCTTGGACCTAATGCAATAAAAGCCTAAGCATATAAAGAATATTAAATATTACACCTCATTTGACTGATAAAATATTGACATTTTCCATTATCCCAGTCTGGATAAAAGTTCATCACCCTATATATCTTAACAAATCGAACAATTTAAGCTCAAATCTTCCTAATAAATTGTTTTTATAATACAATGTCTTGTCGACTTGACATCAAGGCACATTTCTCAAAAAACACATTGCTTAAGGATCGTTCTAACAATAAGAAGGAACTGTGCAATAAACCTAAATATTCCAAATGCTAATAAAATTAAATGAAAATAAATTAATAATCTTCCTACATCTTTTTTTTTTACTGTGTCAGTAAAATGAATTAGAAGGAATAAAATGTGAGAAAGAAAAGAACTAGTGATGACCTATTACGTAGTTTGCTTTTTCTATTACTACAAACCGTGATTTAGGCCAGCAATTGACTAAAAACTCCCATTGACTAATCGCACAAAAAGGAAATTTTGGTCTGGACCCTTAAGAGATCCTCACATAAAAAAATCCCCTTAAGATCAATCCTTGTACCTAATGCTATAAAACCCTAATACACATAAAGAACATTAAATATTACACCTCATTTGTCTTAATAAATACAATTGGTCATTTTCCATTATCCCACTCTGGATAAAACTTCCATCACCCTGTATATCTTAACAAATCTCACAATTTAAGCTCAAATACACATATAAAGTTCAAAGCTCAAATCTTCCTAATAAATTGTTTTTTTAATACAATGCTTTGTCGACTTGCCATCAAGGCACATATCTCAAGATACACAACGCTTAAAGATTGTTCTAACAATAAGAAGGAACTGTACAATAAACCTAAATATTCCAAACGCTAATAAAATAAAATGGAAATAAATTAATAATTTTCATACTTGAACTAAAAAACTAAATAACTGCAAGTCAGTAAAATGAACTATTATATAATAAACTAAGCCCGTAGTGTTTTTCAATAATTTGTGTTATCCCAGTTATATTTTGAGACAATGGTTATTTAGACATTAACACACTGTAACAAGGGATTATTTAATGTGTTCTTGTCAGTTTCATTTGTGATCATTTTAAAATGTAAACTTCTTAGCTTATTTTTATTATTTAATGATTTTTTTTACTACAAACCGTGATTAAGTCAGCAATTGACCAAAAACTCCCATTGACTAATCGCA